GCCGCACGGTCCGCGGAACTCGCCCAGGAACAGCTCCAGGAAGCGACGGTAAGTTTTCTCCTCAGGGATACAGCCCGCCATCGTTGCTCATGCCCCGAGGTCCACCGGGAAGTGGGTGGAGGGTGAACCCAGGAGGAGGGGGCTGCTTCGGAGCCTCGCCTCCCGCGACGGAGGGGGAACGGCCGCACCGGCACCGGCGATCAGCACTGGGTTGCCTGGAGAGGGCTCCCGCAGGCGTGCGCGCCACCGAGCTCGGACGTGCGCGGCCCGGGGGCGGGGGCGGAGCGCGCCACCCCTCTCCGGTCTGGAGGGAAAGTTGGTGGCGGGCGCGCGCACAGGGTCCAGCGGCGGGCCCCCCGCCATCCCTACCGAGAGCTCAGCCCACGCTGCCTAGAGACTGTCGCCATGGCAACCGGTTCTAATTAAGAATTCCAGGGTCCTTGCCGTCGAGCCTGTGGAGTGGTAAGGACACTGAACTCCAGCACACCAACTTCGAATGGTCCTTATTGAGTGAAGACCCTAGTTTAAGAGTGAACTAATGCATCTCCGTTGGTTCCACTAGGAGTATGTTGACTTCATTTTCCTTGTTTGCCTTAGCATATCTGTTCATACGATAGCACACAGTAAACACTTTTACTAAGGGTACAAATGGAAAAATTAGAGGTGGGGCACACGCACCTAACGGGGTAGTTTTCTTCGCTTAGGTTCTTTCAACTGATTGTAAGTATCCCCATTTCTCAAAACACGATGTGAGAAATAAAATAATTTATTCGCTTTAAAGTCCAGACTTTCCAGCAGTGGCATTGGTATCCAGATCTAAGTCTCGAAGCTTTTAGACTTTTTTTCCTAACTCTGCTCTACAAAAAATTTATCTGTGCCTCATGTGTACACAATGTCTTATTATATGGGGCTTTGCAGTTTACTCGTGTTCATGTCTATAATCCTTACCACACCCCTAAAGGATATTATCATTATGATTTTGTTTTACAGATAAAGAAACAAGCCTTAAAAACAGTGACTTTGCTCAAGGTCAGAAGCAAGCAATGCAACAAGGACTCAAATCCATGGTTGAAATGGTAGATTTCACTTGTAAGTTTTCCATCACACCAACACCAAACTCCCCTCCTTAGTTTCTGTATAATGCACATCATATCCTATCATATAATCTGTATTATTAACTACATTTTGTTCTTCCCCACCACCTCCTTTTTTCTTTCTTGGGCTAAAACTGACTTTAAATTATTCTAATTTTCTTACCAAACTATACACAAACCTGTTATTTTCAAGCTTCCTGGTGATGGTGGTGGTTGCTCAGAACGACTTGTTATACAGCTGTATGGATGAGAACATCATTGCTGCATACTGCCATGTCTATGTATGTAATGCACCATATAGTGATTTTTTTTCTCTACTCTGAAAAACATGTACTCACAAATTATCCACTCCACCCTCCCCATTTGTTTCTGGGTTTCAGCTGGATTTAGGATCTGAAATATCATTTCCAGTCAGTTATTAATGGCAAAAGAGGGTGTGTTCTCACCAACTGTTTTCCTATAATACTGTATTTTTAAATCCCTGACCTGATACTGTTATTTTAAGATTAAGTAGGTTGGACTTAGTAATGGTATCATGTAAAATAGAGTTCTATGCTCTCTCCTAGGTCAAGATTAAATAATACATGATAGAAAGTGTATAGTAAATAATGCACTTGGAATTTTTTGAAGATAAATGGAAAGACTCAATTAGTCTGTGTAAAGCAACTTCTCTGTGGAATGCCGAAGAGCCTTCAAACTAATTTCATTTTCACCCTACCTGTTCACTGCCATTTCAGAAAAACTTGAAAAGAGCTAGGTGTGGTGGAACAAACTCTTAATCCCAGCACTCTGGAGGCAGAGTTGGGTGTACACTGAGTTCAAGTCCCACCTGAACCACCTACCAAGTTCCAGATCAGCCAGGGCTATGTAGTGAGGTCTTGTCTAATCACAAATAAACAATAACCAGGAAAGACTGACAACCTTTTAGGCTGCAGCAACCTTAAATGTCCAATTTTGCATTCCAATGAACTATTACTATCCCCAATTTTAACATGGTGACATTTACTTCAGGAGAACGTAGCTGTCAACGGTAACAATGCATGTCAAGCTACATCTTCTTCCTTCATAATGTAGTTTCCTCCTTCATTTAGATGACACTTGTGACATTAATTTATGACTCAACCCACACATCAAAGGAAAATGATATATGTTGGTAAAACATTACTTCTAAGAATGAAAGAGAAAGCCCACACCTCTGTTACTGGAAATGAGAGGCGTCTTTGCTTGTATTAATAAAGCTACTCCTTTACAAAGATCAATATGGATCCTATTGCATTCTTTTAGCAAAGGAGCTGTCAGCGGCTGCTAAAAGCAGTGTAGGATCCCAAAGCAGCTGTGTAGGTGGCTTTGCCATTGTCAAGTCTTTTAGTCGTTATTTCACATCACTTTGCTTTCCTTTCTCCTCACACCTCTCTAGTCCATTCTATTTATTTTGTTTAATAGAAAATGTAGTGAGTCCTGACACATTGCCTCCTACATTCAATTGGTTTTTCTGATATTTCTTCCTGGCTCTTAAGGTAGTTTGTACTTTATGTTCATCTTTGTATTTATGTCATTAGGTATATATCTCTAGAAAATAAGACTACACTTTACTGCCACTGTATTTAAAAACAAATTTTGTTGCCAGCACTTAATATGATTTTATTTTTGCTGAAATATACAATAAATTTTTTCATTAAAAATTCAAATTATGAAAAAGCATAATGTATATAAAATGCAAAGCTAGTTCTTTGGAGATACTTTTCTTACAAAAATATGCAGTGTCCCTTTACGAATTTTCACAGTAATGTCTGTCGGGTAAAAATGTTGAATTTAGTAGCTTGTTGTATAACTCAAACATTTTCTCAGTTATTTACCCAAGAGAAATAACTTGCCATAAACACAAGCATATACATAAGAACCTGTACGTGAATGTTCAGCTCTATTTATAGCATCTCAGACATTGAATCAATATACAAATCCATGAACACCTAAGATGGGTAACTGTAGTATATTCACACAACAGAATACTACTTGTCAATAAAAACAAATGAACTTAGGCTAAGTATGGTACATGCCTAGAATCCCAGCACTCAGCATACAAGATTAAGAATTGAGCTAGATGTGGTGGTGCACACCTTTAATCCCAGCTCTAGAAAGGCAGAGGCAGTTGGATCTCAGTGAGTTTAAGGCCAGCCTGGACTGCATATCAAGTTCTAGGACAGCTAGGGATATATAGTGAGACTATCTCAGAAAAAAATGGGTGGAGGGGGTTGAGGTCAAGCCTTGGTACATAGTGAGTTAAAGGCCAGCCTGGGCTATGTGAAATCTTCATATGTTAAGACAAATAAACAACAAAAACCATACATATTGAGAGTGCTGGAGAGATGGCTCAGCATTTAAGAGTACTTGCTTCTCTTGCAGAGGAATTCTACATGGAGGCTCAAAACTGCCTGTGTAACTCCAGTTTTAAGGGATCCAATGCCTCTTCTGGCCTCTTTGGGCACTGAGCATGTACTTGGTACATATATATATGAAGGCAAATACATACACATACAATAAAAATAAAAACATACTGAAAAATAAAAGTTGTAGAAAAGGGCTGGAGAAATGGCTCAGTTGTTGAGAGCACGTATTACTCCTGCAGAAGACATGAGTTTGATTCTTAGCACCTACATGGCAGCTCACATCCTCCCATTAACTCGAGTTCCAAGGAATTCAACACCCTCTTCTGGCCTCTGCAAGTATGAGACATGCATGTGGTACGCATAGATACCTGCAGGCAAAATACTGATCACATAAAATAAAAATATTTTCAGTTGCACAAATGAATATATTATTCTATCCATATGTTTTGTTGTTGTTGTTTGTTTTTTGAGACAGGGTTTCTCTTTGTAGCCCTAACTGTCCTGGAACTAGATCTGTGGACCAGACTGGCCTTCAACTCAGAAATGAACCTGCCTCTGCTTCCCAAGTGCTGGGATTAAAGACATGCACCACGACCACCTAAGCCCTATGGTATTCTAAAAAATAGGCAAGACTAAACCAGATGTGGTGTACATGGTGGGACATGTCTATAATGCCAGCATGCAGGAGGCTGAGACAGGAGGATCAAAAGTTTAAGGTCAGTGTAGGCTACATAGCCAGAACATCTCAAGAAAAACAAATGATCAACGAAAAATGGCTAAACTAACCACATGTGAGAAGACAGGAAGGAGCTAGATTGAATATTTCAAGTTCACTGAGCATGTTTTCTCACTGAGTGTGGTGGTGCATGTCTTTAATTTCAGCACTCAGGCGACAAAGGCAGGTACATCTCTGTGAGTTCAAAGCCAATCTGGTCTTCCATAGTGAGTTCCAGCACAGCCAGAGCTACAGTCTTAAAAAAAAAAAAAGGACAACAATGTTATCTATTGTAACCGGGGGGATTATCTGAGTTATGAAATTATCAAAGTATACATTAAAGATAATAGGAATGTAGCTCAGTGATAGAGCACTTGCCTAGCATGTAAAAGGCTTAAAATATACATTTAAAATAAGTATATTGTACATAAATTAAACCTCAATAAAGTTGATTTTTAAAAAGAATTGACTGTCCATTTTGCTACCATATCCATTCTTTCCTTCCTTGTTCCACTCCACACTGCTGCAGAGCTGACCTGCTTAGGCTGCATTCACTGGGCTTCAGTGACAGCTGTCTTTCAGTTGTCATTTGCCCAGTGGGAGGCACTGACAAGAAATTTAAGTGAGGAGAGCAAAACAGCCAGAGCATTTCTCTTCTCCCTTGTCTCAGTGTTGAGCCTGTTTTATCTCCTTGGTGACTTTGCTCCCCTTGTTTGTTCACTGGACTTCAGGCTGGACAGGTATCCGAGTCTCTGAGCTCTGAAAACATCATCTTCCATTCTCCTTCAGCCTAAGGATAGTGGCAGCTTCCAGATTCCTAATCTTTTAGAATTAGAAAAGGTTTTATAGTTGTTTTATCAATGTATAAATAATTTTCTGCATTTAACTAAAATGATACAATAACAAAAACTTAAACTATGAAAGGATTATATGGAACAGAACTTAAAGTGGTTTAAGCTGAAATTACAGCAATTTTTAGATCTGGAAGGTTCTACTCGAATAGTTTACTTGAACCAAAGTTAACAGTGGATTATTTCTTAAAATTTGAAGAATAGATTATCACAAGTTCAGAAGGAATAGGGAGGATGCAATACCAATAGCAAAAGGGGGGCACTGATTATAATTCTGAAATAGCGGATACAGGTCAGAATTCCATATAATAGGCATGAGTGAGAACTGACATAAATATGGACTTCAGTAAATAATACTAACATATCAGTGTTGGTTTACCAGAAATAGGCACAGGATGTTAGAAATGGGGGGAGGGGGAAGAAGAAAGCATACATGCTAACTCTATCCCAACTCTTTTGTAAACTTAAAATCACTGTAAAGATACTCATTAATTTGAAGTCATGTTTGCTATATGAATAATTAAGGCATGTAAATTTTTTATTGTTTTTTACTATTTTAAAAACTGAATTTTAGACTAGAAAGATGGCCCAGTGGACTAGAGTATTTGCTCCTCCAGGGAACCTGAGTTTAGTTTCCAGCACCAACTTCAGGCTGGTCACAACCTCCTGTACACCAGCTACAGGGGATCTAATGCCCTCCGCTAGTCTCTGAGGGCACCCACACATGTAGCATACATACATACATACATACATACATACATACATACACACACACACACACACACACACACACACACACACACACACACACTTTTAAAAATCTTTTAAAAGGCCATGCATACTGGCACATGTCTTTAATCCCAGCACTCAGGAAGCAGAGACAAGAGGATCTCTGTGAGTTCAAGGCCAGCCTGGACTACAGAGCGAGTTCCAGGATAGCCAGAGCTCTGTAGAGACCCTGTCAGTAAATAAACAAATAAACAAACAGGTAAACAAATAAAATTCCTTTAAAAATGAATTCACAAAGTGAACATGAGCTATGAAAGAGAATATAAAGCTGTTTTTCTAGTTTTAATTCTGTCAAGACTTTTTGATTTTAGTGGTAGATAAGTACATAAAAATGCACTCTACAGAGCAGGCAGTAGTGGCACACACCTTTAATCCCAGCACTTAGGAAGCAAAGGCAGCTGTATCTCCAAGTTTTAGGCCAGCCTGTCTACAGAGTGAATCCCAGGGTAGCTAGGGCTACACAAGAGAAACCCTGCCTTAAAAACCCAAAATATAAAATCCAATGTTAAGCCCCACAGTTTCCATTCTGAATGGTTACTCTAACTGTACAGAGAAGTCCATTGAGTTGATAGGTTAAGGGTCTGGTTAATTTTAGTGTGTGAAGGGTTTTGTTGTTTTGGATTTTGGTTTCAGAGATGGGGTTACTCTGTGTAGCCCTGGCTGACCTAGAACTCCAGCTATAGATCAGGCTGGCCTCAAACTCAAGAGACCTACCTACATCTGTTTCCCAAGTGCTGGGATTAAAGGTATGAGCCACCACGGCCCATTGAAGATTTGTTTTTTAAATTTGCAAATTTTTATATAATAAAGTTTAAAAACCTAACTGAAGGGTAATATGTAAAAGGCTCAGCAGTTAAGAGCAATTGCTGCCTCTTGTAGAAGACTTGAATTTGAGTTCCTGCCCCCTGTCAAGAGGCTCACAAGTACCTGTAACATCAACCAGGGAAGTAGATGCCTTCTCCTGACCTCCATAAGCATCTGTACGAGCACGCACACACACTGAAAGAGTGGCGCTTGCTCTTCACCAATGGCCCTCTCGGCCCCCACATACATAATTCAAAAATCTTTAAATCTTTTTAAATTAATTTAATTAAAACTTTTTAGGGGGAGGTGTCTTGAGACAGGCAGGGTCTCACTATGTAATTCTGGCTGTCCTGGAACTCACTATGTAGACCAAATTGGCCTCAAACTCACAGAGATCCACCTGCCTCTGCCTCTCCAAGGGGTGCTCCACTAAGCCTGGCCAATTACAACTTTTTAATCTAAAAAAAAAAAAAAAGTGTCATCAAATCACATACCACAGAATATCTGACAACAGAGTACAATAGAAATTACTTCAAAACTGGAGAGACAGCTCAGCAGATAAGAGCATTGGCTGCTCTTCCAGAGGATCTGGGTTCAATTCCCAGCACTCACATGGCAGCTCACAACTGTCTGTAACTCTAGTTCCAGGAGATTCAGCATCCTCACACAGACATATATGCAGGCAAAACACCAGGGCACATAAAATAAAAATAAATTATTAATTTTTTTCAAACAGGAGCTTCAATCAATAGCTGTATTTTAAAAACTCATCCCCAGTTGATGCAAAAAAAAAAAAGAGCAAACATCATTGCTATAATAATTTTTAATTCCTTTCCTCTTTTAGGCTATATAGTCATTTGCAGGAATAGGCCAAAGCTATCAAAATTAAAATTCACTCCAAGTAGTAACAAGCCATACAAACTAAATTTTACTAGTTTTAAAGGCAAATAAGTACCCCAAACAGTTTCTAGTCGTTTTAAAAAAGTTTTATCTATACATAATCAACTTTCTTTTTATCTAGCCACCAAAATATGGACTAGGACATCCTTACAGAAGTAGAGGGTGATGGTGATTTGATACTATAAATGTTGTCATATAGAATGTTCTTTCTATAATGAGTGACTCTTCTAAAGTGAACTACTAAAAAATCTGTATCGATATTTTCTAATTTTCATTATACAAATCAGAAAGTACTTCTTGGTAATAAAATTTTACCTTTATTATCAACTAGTTTTTAATTACTTTTAAATATTCAGTTAGAATGAATACATGTAAAAATTCATGATACTGAACATGTCCTAGTTAGGTTGGCAAATGCCCATCACTGCAGAATTCATTAAAACTAGAACAAAGCAAACAGAAAACTGAACAGCAGCAGCTTTTTCAATGAAAATCGAACAGGCAACTAAATCCAGAAATTCCTAACCAAGGCGTTTTCTATACTTAGATATTGCTAAAAGACTTTGTTTTCTATACTTAAATATTGCTAAGTACTCTCTTCTTAGTTGGTGGAACTGAGCCACAGTAACATTTGTGCCTAGAAGGGACGATGAAGTGACTCCATTAACCTAGAGTGCTGTAGCATATGGCAGTCATAGGTGGTAGAATGGCTGTGTCGGACAAGAGTAGAAACAAGCCATGTGGCACAGACGTTATCAATTACCACACATGGTGACCATGCTGACACAATCATCTTTTCCAGAAAGGAAATAACTTGGGCATATGAAGTTGTTTGCTGCCTTGTGAAAGAGTAATCTATAAATGACATATCTGGCACCAAGATAGCACACATGGTTTTCAGTAATTAAACTAAGAGTTAAGATTTGAACCTTTACTACATACTTAAATAACAATGCACCACACTGCAGATATTTGCAAAGGCAGCAATCAAAGTACATATGCAAAATAAGCACAAGTCTTTCAAACATAAAATTATTTCCAAATTCTAGCGTGGTGGCACTTGCCTGTAATCCGGCACTTAGGGGCAGAGGCAGGAAAATTCCAGGCTAACTTGAGGTACACACAATACCCTGTCTCAAAACAAAACAAAACACCCATTGGCTGGAGAGATAGCTTAGTGGTTAAGAGCATTGGTTGTTCAATTCCCAGCATCCACATGTTGGCTCACAATCTTCTCTAACTCCAGTCCTACAGGACCCAATGGCACAGGTACAGATGTGGTACAGAGACATGCAGGCAAAACACCCACACACAGCTTTAAAAAACAAATTATTTTTCAAATATCTTCAAATTACCACATAAAATACTGAATTATTATATCACTGAAAGTATACCAATAATTTCAACTCTTTAGGTATAAAACCTGCAGGGAAAGCTCAAGATTAGATCTAAGGAAATAAACTTGTAATTATTTCTTTTGTTTGTTTGTTTGTCTTGAAATGTATTTCATTTGTAAAAAACAGCTTGTTAAAATTAACATCATCTAAAGTGATTTATATTGGTTTCTTTTTTAAAGGTTTTTATTTTCTTCAATTTTTTTTGTTTGTTTTTACATACTAACCAAAGCTTCCCCTCCCCACAGTAATTATTTCTTCTAAGTACTGACCAAAAAAAAAAAAAAGCAATGCAAAGAAACATGGTAAGCACTGGGCTTTAAGAAAATCTACCAGGTGTTGGGCTCTGTGGTACTGGGAGACAGAGGCAGGCCTTCTCTGTGAGTTCCCAAGCTCATCCTGGTCTGTCAAGTAAGACCCTGTCTCAAAAGAAAAAAAAAAAAAAAATTAAGACAGATTTCATATAGAACAGCCTGACCTCCACTGCTATGTAGCAGAGAATAAACTTGAGCTTCTGATCCTCCTGTCTCCATGCCTGGTTTATATCTTGATGAGGTGCTATATGTCCACTTTTAGGAAAATGTGATTATTTATTCCTTCAGGTAGGTGCTGTATGGACTAAGAGAGATTGAAGGCTTGGGAATAGTTAGCAGTAGAAAATAATAAGTACAGAAAAGAACAGTATCAATGGGAATAAAGAGAAACAAATTAAAAAACACAAAATAAAAAGACACAAAATTGTTTACAAAAAAAAAAAAAAAAAAAAAAGGCACAGAAAGACACAATTTGGAAAGATCTAGCAGTCTACCCAGAAAGGTTCACAGGAAACTATTCCAGTTTTCTACTTCTTTAAAACAAGCTGTGCTAAAACTTTAGTGTCTAGAACTGAAATCATTTTGCTCTTCCACAACTCTGATGTTGACTGAGCTTGGCTAGGTGGTTTTTATTTGTAGGTCCTCCAAAGCTACAGTCCACTTTGTGAACTGAATACATGAAGGTACAACAGGGTTACATGTCCAAGGTAAGTTATTTACATTATGCTTTTTCATTTACATTGAAAACACTCCAGTAGAAAATGAGTAGTTGCAGGAGGTAAGATGGGTCACATGTAGCATAGGATGCCTTCAATGTCCTATGTACTCAAGGCTATCCCTTAATTCCTGATTCTCCCACTTTTACCTCCCAAATGCTAGAATTTAATTTTTAAAAAGGATTTGCCGTCATTGGTGGTGCACACATTTAATCCCAGCATTTGGGAGGCAGAGGCAGAGGCGGATCTGGTCTACAGAGCAAGTTCCAGGACAGGCTCCAAAACAATACAGAGAAACCCTGTCTCGAAAAAACAAAGAGAAAAAAATTACTTTTATTCTGTATTTGCCTTCATGTATGTGTGTGCAGTGTAAATGTACCTGATTCCTGTTGAGCCCAGAAGAGGGAGTTGGATATCCTGAAACTTAAGTTACAGAAGGTTGTGAACTGTCACGTGTGTACTGAGAACTGAACCCAGGTCCTTTGCAAGGGCAACAAGTGCTCTTAACCTCTAAGCCATCTCTACGGTTCCAAGTCCTGGGGTTTCAGCTGTGTCACTACACCTATCTCTTAATATGTAATTATATTAGAAATAATAACTGACTTTAGGGGGCTGGAGAGATGGCTCAGAAATTAAGAGCACTAGCTGCTTTTCCGGAGGACCAGGTGGATCCGACATCCTCGTATAGACAACTTCTTACACAATGACTTAGGACTGTAAAAGTTCTAGCCAAGCCTGGCCACACAGCCTATAAGCTTAGCTATTCAGGAGGCCTGAAATAATCGAATCACTAGTTCAAGGCTAACCTAGGTGATGTAGCTGAGGAAGTTTTTGGTTTTTTGTTTTGTTTTTTTTTAAGGGTGAGGATATAACTCAGTGGTAGGACCCTGAGTGGCAGGTCTTAGGTTCAACCTACAGTAAAATAAATAAAAACAAAGAAGTGAGTGTCTCAACAAGGGGATGGAGCAGAGTTTTGTATTAGCTAGTCTTAGGAGTAAACATTGGTCAAATCAGTAATTAGACCTCTTTTAGACTCAAGAGGACCTATTGTACCCCACCTTCTGTTAAAAGAAGAGCTAAATAATTTAAAGTACTGCAACATTTATCTTCATGAGTTTATAATAAAGTTCAGAAATTTGAACTTGGGAACTCAGAAATGTGTTCTGAATTTAATCTCATAGGATATCATCGAGTGCTAACAAATCTACAAGAAACCAATACATAGAGCCCACAATAATAACATGTATCACAGTGAGAACTATTAATTCCAAAGTGATGGGGCATAGTGACAAATTCCTTTAGTCCCAGCACTTGGGAGGCAGAAGCAGGCAGAACTGTGAGTTCAAGGCCAGCCAGGGCTACATAGTGAGACCCTGCCTCAAAAGAACCACGTGACTAATTTCAGGGGCTGGAGAGATGGCTCAGAGGTTAAGAGCACTGACTGCTCTTCCATAGGTCCTGAGTTCAATTCCCAGCAACCACATGGTGGCTCACAACCATCCATTATGAAATCTGGTGCCCTCTTCTAGTGGAAGCAGAATGTTGTATACATAATAAATATTTAAAAGAAAAAAAGTTCATTTATTTTTCTTTAAATCTACTGCTTTTCAAATGTAAATGCTACACCAAAGAAAGTGCCTGAAAGTCATAAAATATGGGGGGGGGCATGTTTTTTGAATTTTGAAACAGAGTCTCTATGTGTAACACTCCCAGCTCTCCTGGAGCTCACTCTGTAGATCAGGCTGGCCTCAAACTCAAGAGATCTGCCTAATTAAAGGCCATGTCACCACCATCTGGCTGGAGGGGAGGGGGTTTATTAAGCCATTTTATTTATTTTTGTCTTCATTTTTATTTTATTTTCATTTTAACATGTTTTTCTTTCTAAGAACTAGCGGTATCATTGAACCAGTTAGTTTTGTAATTATAGTCTTTGAGCCTCACTTTATATGGCTTCTTGACATAAATTCTCTTTATATCACTTTGTCCCTTATCTTGCAAATTCTTATTTCTGAAAGTAGGTAGGATATAATCTTCTTGAATTCTCCCTCCATCCCTTTTGAATGTGTATAATTTTTATATCTTCATAAATTACACATAAAAACTATATTTAAAGTAATAGAATGCTTAAAAACTCACATCTCACTACACATAATGGAAGTCAAATAGACAGTTGAAATATCAAAAAGCCTATGTCAAAGGTGAATTGAAACTGAAAACAAGCAAAGAAATATAGTGTGGTCAAAAATACATGAAATCTTGTCAACATATTTTATGCCAAAATCAGTTCTAAGGGAGCAAAATGTTCTGTAAATTTTAACAGTAACAGTAAATTTAGGCACTGATGTTAACTAAAAATACATATTTTGAACAGTCAGCTTCTCTCCTGTAACTCAATGTTTTTTTAAAGCAATAGAACGCTTCAGCTTTTGTCTCAAAACTGAAATTCAATGTAATCTGAATATTATTGGTATTTATTGTTTTATTTATTTATTTAGGTTTTTCAAGACAGGGTTTCTCTGTGTAGCTTTGTAGCCTAGTCTGGCACTCGCTCTGCAGAACAGGATGGCCTCAAACTTACAGAGATCCACCTGCCTCTGCCTCCCAAGTGTACCACCAATGCCTGGCCCTTATTTATTTATTTTTGACACAGGGTCTTGCAGTACATCTTAGGCTAGGCTGGAACTAGCAGCAATACTCATGCTTCAGCCTCCTGAGTGCTGGGTTTACAGGAACGCAGTTACCACACCTCTCGATATTGAAACTAAATGTCACTTTCCCCAATATTTTCAGTTAATCATTTTCAGTGACTGTCTGTCTCATAATGCCTCTATAAAAAGAGGCTAGAAAGTCAAACCACCATTTATAAACAAATCTTGCCTATAAGAAAAGGCATTGAAAAAATATGAAAAATAAGTATGTCCAAATTGATATGACTTCAGGCAGAGTAAGAATGTGTGTCTTCTAACTTTAGTCCTAGGATCATTCTACCAGTTATACTATAATTTTACTACCAATTGAAAAAACTTGACTAAGAATATTATTGACAAAAATCAAACAGTGGGGCTGGAAGATGGCCAGTGGTCAAGAGCATGCACCTGTAATCCTGGCACTCCTGTGGCATATCAGGAGGCAGAGACAGGAGAGCACCTGGGAGTTTGCAGAACAGCTGGTCTAGTTAATACAAAGAGATGCTGTCTCAGAGTAGAAAGCAAAGACCAACAACAAAGGTTGTCCTCTGACCACCAACCCCATGTGAACTGTGGATCACATACAACCCCATTTACCAACATACACAAATGTATAAACAAACACACATGCATTACATAAGAAAGATATTGGTAGAATGGTTTTCGTGTGTGTGTGTGTGTGTGTGTGTGTGTGTGTGTGCGTGTGTGTGCCTGATCACATCTCAAAGGGTCATTCCCCAGGGACCGTACACCCTACCCTTTCAAGATGGCCTAACTGGTTTGAAGCCAGATTCAGCTGGGATGGCTAGCTCATGAACCCATGATCTGCCTGTCTCTGGTTTCTTACATGTGGGTTCCAAGAATGGAACTCATATCCTCATGCTTGAATGGCAAGCATTTTACTGAATGAAGTATCTCCTCAGCCTGATGGAATGATCTCTAAGTTTTTCTCTAGCAATATAGACACGTAATAACTATATTTAAAATGTTAAGCCTGTATCCTAAAAATAAACAAAACCAGGTGCTGAATTAGGTTATGTGAGCCTTTAACTTTATATTTTATCATAATAAACACCTATACTTATTTGGAATCAAATTGATTTTCCAAGTACAGCAATGGACAATATAAATTTCTGGTATCCATTCTTCCCAAAATGAGTTTTTACAGGAAACTATATTACCAGCTTATGTTGTACTAGTTGTGTCTACAACATAGTAAAAGATGGAAATGACATTAAAAACACTGGAAATGAATACATGATATACCTATAATAAAATGTCTTCATGAAGCATGGTGGTGCACACCTTTTATCTCAGCACTTGGGAGGCAGAGACAGGGGGATCTCTGTGAATTCAAGGCCAGCATGGTCTACAAAAGTGAGTTCCAGGACAGCCAGAGCAGTTGTTACAGAGAAACCCTGTCTCAAAAAACAAAAAATAAAAGTCTTCATGAAATCAATTACTCTGTACAATGAATACACCAGTTAAAAACAAGCAACACTGGGGCACTAGATGTTGCAGCAGGTAAGAGCATGTGCTCTTGCAGAGGACCTAAGTTTAGTTCCCACCACCTCAATGGAATCTCAGAACTGCTGGCAATACCAGTTTCAGGAGATCCAACACTCTCCTGAGCTTTGTAGGTACCAGGCACACAACATGGTACACAGATATATAAGTAGTCAAAGCACTCATAAATGTTGGAAATACTTTCTGTGTGCATATAAATATATTTGTGTTAGCTTTTCATCACTATAATAGCTGAGATAAAAGGTTTATTTTGGCTCAGTTTTAGAGGTTGTAGCCTATCACCACACAAACTCATTGCTTCCAGGCCTCTGGTGGGTTTGCCAGATGGCAATACCAGATGCACACCTGACAGAACTAAACTGCTCACCTCAGGACCAGGAAGCAAGAAAAAAAGAGACTTGGGGTCCCACAATCCTCTTTGAAGTATACTCTCAATGATCTAAATATTTCCCATCAGACCCCACTTCTTAGTTTCCACTATTTTCCAATAATACCTCCCTGGGAGGCAAACTTTTAGCCACATTAACCTTTGATGAATACCTAAGAGTCACATTATCAATATTCATGTATGTACATCAATTACCAGAAAGGGTAATCATATTGATGACATGAAATAAAAGGAATCTTTTTTTCTTTTTTGGTTTTTTGAGACAGGGTTTCTCTATGTAGCTTTGGAGCCTATCCTGGCACTCACTCTGTAGACCAGTCTGGCCTCAAACTTAAGAGATCCGCCTGCTCCCGAGTGCTGGGAATAAAGGTGTGTGCTAATGCAGAGGACTGGGTTTAGTTCCCAGCACCTTCATGGTGGCTCAATACCATTTGTAACCCTAATTCCAGGGGATCCACCAGTCTATTCTGGCTTTTGTAGGCACCAGCACACACACATACATACAGGGAAAACACCCATACACATAAAGATAAATTAAAATGAAAACAAGTAGAAAATCAACTCCCCAAAAAGTTGTCCTCTTACTACATGTACACCATGGCATGCACAGGCAGACAAAAAGGAAGGAGGAGCTTTTTTCAGAGAAGATTCTGTAAATATTTTCCCATTCACATCATGTAATTCTGATTCATTCATGCCATAGTATGTGTTTAAACTTTAAAAGAGTACAAACTACTTGTGTGTACTACAAGGAGTATCACATCACGAGTCTAACTATATGCACTGACATTAGTTTTGGATCAGCATCCTTCCTCTGGTTCTCGTGACCGTTTCCGGAGATTTGAAGAACCTTCTGTCTGTGATGAAGAAGCAGTGACAGCAGCATCTCTAAATCCCTGTGGCTGCAAAATGAAGAAATACACAAATACACGTACAGACCATTTAAAATAAAGATGCATTTTCCAAATAGTTTTTAAATAACACTACATAAGGATGTTCTCTAAGACTTGTAGTTTAGTGGTGAGGCCCAACACCCTTTGGCCCAAATTAACAAGAAAGTTCTGTAAAAAGAATCCTGATAAGCCTTATGGCACCTGCTGGGAGAAGTTTGTCCTGGTACTTGGATGCTTTATAAATCATTTTCACAAAATATTCTGCCTGGCATGTAGAATGCATCTGTAATAAATAGCAGCCCTCAGGCAGTCAAAAGTTCAAGGCCTTCCTGAACTATGTAACAAAGCTATTCTCAAAAAGACAAAACAATGAAGTGCAGGTTAGTATGAGTAAGTTAAAGTATGGGTAGTGTGAAAACTAAGCGGAGAATTCATTTCCAGAATTGTTTTCCAATTTTCTTTTTATCCTTATAAAAGTAAGATGGGCCAGGCAGTGGTGGTGCGCACTTTTAATCCCAGCACTTGAGAGGCAGAAGCAGACAGATCTCTGTGAGTTCAGGCCAGCCTGGTCTACAGAATGAGTTCCAGGATAGCCAGGCTTTGTTTAAAAAAAAAAATAAAAACAAGAGCTGACAAGAGTTGGCTCAGTGGTTAAGGGCACTTGTTCTTGAGAAAGACCCAAGTTTGAATACCAGAACCCCTGTGGAGGCGTGGAGGCTCACCCTCCTTGGGCACCAAGCACACAAATAGTACGCAGATACAAATATATAAAATAATAAAATTTAAAAAATATTAAACAATGGAGGTCATGCTTAGCCTTGTAGTGAGTTCAAGACCAACTTGGGCATGGAGTCTAATAATGTAAATGCTCAGAAAATTAACATTTCAAGTGTTACAACTATCTCCAACCAAAATTACTAATATTCATATTTTCCTTGTTGTTATTGTTGCTTATATTTCTGAGACAGGACCTCATGCTCACTAAGCTGACCTTGAACTAGTCATCTGTGTCTCCTAAATTCAGGCATGTACCATCATGTCCAGTTGTAACTTTCCCTTTCTGAAAACTTTGAACATAAAAATCTATTTTTAGGGCTGGAGAGATGGCTCAGAGGTTAAGAGCACTGACTGCTCTTCCAGAGGTCCTGAGTTCAATTCCCAGCAACCACATGGTGGCTCACAACCATCTGTTATGAGATCTGGTGCCCTCTTCTAGTGTGCAGATATACATGGAAGCAGAATGTTGTATACATAATAAATAAATAAATTCTTTTTTTTAAAAAAAAATCTATTTTTATAGGAGATTTTTACAGATGCCGTGGAACATATACAAATATTTCCTCTGTTCTCAAGGATAAATTTCAGTTCAACTGTGACTACAGTCCTCAATTATGCTTGCTGTTTACAAGATTAACAGAAACCATTTGTACATGACCTCTACCAACACCAAAATCCCATTCTGATTAAATAATACTGACTGTGATCTGAAATGGTATTGTGGACTCCTTCTGGCTTGGTGACTTGTACAATGTTGCAAACCTATTTGAAGAAAAAAAAGTACATATAAACAATACCTTAATTAGGTCTCATGACTGATTTCATAATTTAAATGTGCAGAGTCCTATACTATAATTCTCTCAAGTCAAGTATTCTCAAGGACATAAAGTATAAAGAAATATTAAAAAAAACAAAACCAAAAACCTTCCCTCACAGGGTATAATGGTGGATGCCTTTAGTTTTAAGTAGGCAGAGGTAGGATTTTTTTGAGCTCATGAGTTCAAGGCTAGTCTGTCTTAAACAAAATCCTTCTCAAAAAAAATACCTCCAAGTATGCATGCAATAACTGGTACATCCAATAAGGTTGTTTATATACATATTTTTGTTTTGTTTTGTTTTTTGAGACAGGGTTTCTCTGTGGCTTTGGAGGCTGTCCTGGAACTAGCTCTTGTAGACCAGGCTGGTCTCGAACTCACAAAGATCCGCCTGCCTCTGCCTACTGAGTGCTGGGACTAAAGGTGTACGCCACCATCGCCTGGCTATATACATAATTTTAATTAATATTTTTTATTTTACATATTAACTCCAGTTCTTTCCCCCAACTCCTCAGAGGGATAAGGCCTTCTTTGGGAAGTCAACTAAGTCTTGTATACCAAGTTGATGCAGGACCAAGACCCTCACCTCTGTACCAAAGTTGAGGAAAGTATCCAACCTTAGGGAGTGGGCTCCAAAAGCCAGTTAATGTAGCCGGGATAAGTCCTGGTCCCACTGCCAGGAGCCCCCTCAACAGATCAAGTCATATAACTTACACATAAAAATTTAAAGTAAACAAATTCAATGACAGATTCAAATAAATTTCCTACATAATGCTACTTATGAAATATGTATCAGAAGAGGAAGGTACTAATAACATATGAAATAAAAGTTATATGGTCACTCATGTTAAGTTATATGACCATACAACTTGTTACATACTATATGACCACACATTTTATATGTCTACCCATCTTAAAGTGACACATATAGAAGCCAGTTAGTGGCACTAGGAATATAATAGAATCTGATGAGCATGACTGAGGCTCTGGGTTCAATCCACAGCACTGCCAAAAAAGAAAAACTGTTCTGGGTGGTGGTGCATGCCTTTAATCCCAGCACTTGAGAGGCAGAGGCAGACAGATCTCTGTGTGTTCGAGGCCAACCTGGTCTACTGAAATAGTTCCAAGACAGCCAGGGCTACACAAGTGAAACCCTGTCTGGGAAAAAAACAAAAACAAATTTAAAAAAAGAAATAAAAGCTAAAGCTCTTTTTGTATGTGTGCACATGCATGTGGAGGCCAGAGTTGAGGCAGGCATCTTCTATCTCTCTTGACCTAATTTTTCCTGATAGGGTCTTTCACTGATCTGAGGGTTCAACAAGTGTGCTAGCTGTGCTGGCCCGCAGGCCCTAGAGATCCTACTATTTCCTCCTTACCCGTGTCAGGACTGCACATCACCATGCCCTACTTTTTACATGGGTGTTGGGGATCCAAACTCAAGTTCTCATGCCTGCATGGCAAGCACTGTTCAGCCTGAGTCATGGTCCAACTCACCATCTATACACTCTTAATAAACAGTATTAACAACAAGAACACAAAAATCTTCTAAGTTTCTTTTAAGGATCTGGGTGTTTTGGTGCACACCTGCAACTGTGGCAGCGGGAGAGGGCTATGAGGACTGCTATAAGTTCAAGGACCACCTAGGTTACATAACAATTTTGAAGCTAGCCTGGATACATGAACCTGCTTCAAAAAACAAAAAAAAACAAAACAAAACAAAACAAAAAAAAAACCCCAAACTTCTTGTGTTGATGCCCTGAACCTAGGGCCTCACACATGCTAGGCAAATGCTTCACTAGGCATTGTTACCTACCTTAAAATTACTTCTAAAACATTTAAGTCATTCACAACAGCAAAAAGACTGAAGCAACATTGTCTACTAAGAGGTAAATAAGATGTGGAATACATACATACACATACACACACACACACACACACACACACACACACACACACACACACAATAAAATATGTTTTTAGGATGAAACTGCTGACATGGCTACAAAATCAAACCTTAAAGACATTATTCTAAGCGAAATAAGTAAATCAAGTATTGTATGATTCCAATTATATTTGGTTCTTAGAGCAGTCAAATTTAAAGATGAAAAGTAGACTAGTGGTTGCCAGGGATATTGTTTAATACTGAAGTAAGGGAAGTTGAAAAGTTCTGGAAATAAACGGCATTGAAGGTTTGACAAAAATACAAATATACTTAATGCCAGCCAACTATATAAACATGGTTAAAATGTAGTAAAATAGACAACTATAATGTCTATCTTATTGCAATTTTATGTAACAGGAAAACAATCATACACCCCAGGGCTAGGAAAGTCATTAGTTTCTAGACAACATAATACTCATTTGTTTTTGTTTTTTGTTTTTTTTTTTTGAGACAGAATCTAATATGCCCAGTTTAGCTTTGAATGCACTATGTGTGCAGAACAGGGCATCATCAGATTCTATTACAGATGGTTGTGAGCCACCATGTGGATGCCGGGAATTGAACTCAGGACCTCTGGAAGAGCAGACAATGCTCTTAACCGCTGAGCCACCTCTCCAGCCCCCTTTGAATGCACTATGTAGCCAAGGATTGTCTTGAACTTCTAATCTTCCTGACACCACCTCCCAAGTATTAGTATTATAAGCCTGTGTCACCAAACTGGCTTATTCATTTATTTTCAAAATCAACTCAACAAAGAACATCTTGATTACCATTTATTAACTTTCCTTATTTCAAAAATGTCTCTGTCCTCAAGCAAAATTCCAAGAGAAACAACCAAAGATTGTTATTACTTTGAAAACAGCAGAATTGAGTTCAACTGTCAATACCACAAAAATTAAAGGTATTTCTCTTTAGCCTGGTATGAGGACAGATTTCTTTAATCACAGCACTTCAGAGGTTTCAGAGACTAGGATCATGAGTTTAAAGATAATTTGGGCTGTACAGCAGGCCCCTCCAACTCAAACACAAACAAATAGCTGTATTAGAAGCACAATCAGCAATTTTCAATATTTTACAGTTAGAGCAGAATATAGTATAATCAGCCTTTTTAGAAAATCATATTTTGGGAGTTTTTAAAAAAAGATTTATTTATTATATATATTTAATATATATGTTTATTTATTATATATATTTATTATATATGTTTGTTTATATTATTATATATATTTATTATATATAATATACAATTATATATTATTATATTTATTATATATTAAATATATAAACATATATTTATTATATATTTATATATACATATATTTGTTTATATATATACATATATATATATATATATATATATATATTAGTATTCGGTATGCATGTATGTCTCCAGGCCAGAAGATCTCATTACAGATGGTTGTGAGCACCGTGTGGATGCTAGGAATTGAACTCAGAACCTCTGGAAGAGCAGTCAGTACTCTTAACCTCTGAGCCATCTCTCCAGTTCTGAGTTTTTGTTTTTTTAAGGGGGGTATTTTAGAGACTGAAATTTGTGGGCCTAGTATCATCTACATAAGCACCACCCCACTGAACTATGCATGCAGTACTAAAAGAATCACTTTTTTGGCTTAGTGAGATGGTTCATAGGTTTGTGTCACCAATCCTGACTACCTGAATTCAACCTTCTGATGAAGTAATATGGTAAAAGGAAAGAACCAACTAACCAACTCCCAAAAGTCATCCTGACTTCCACACATGCATTTTCAAAGTAAACAAATGAATATGTAAAAAAGAAAGCCTTCACTTTTGACTCAGTAAAAATTAGATAATTTTTCTGGGTGGTGGTGGCACACATCTTTAATCCCAGCACTCTGGAGACAGAGGTGGGAAGATCTCTGTGAGCTCAGGGCCAGCCTGGTCTACAGAGTGAGCTCCAGGACAGCCAGAGCTATACAGTGAAACCCTGTCTCAAAAAAACAAAAAAAGTGGGCTGGAGAGATGGCTCAGAGGTTAAGAACACTGATTGTTCTTCCAGAGGTCCTGAGTTCAATTCCCAGCAACCATATGGTGGCTCACAACCAACCATCTGTTATGAGATCTGGTGCCCTCTTCTGGTGTGCAGATATATATGGAAGCAGAATGTTGTATATACAATAAATAAATAAATTCTTTAAAAAAAAAAAAGTATATAAATCATCTCACATCACCAGTATGTCCTGAAAGGTGCCAAGGACAACTGAATTATTTTGAGGAAATTATTAAGACTTGATAACTTCTCTTGCTCACTCACTCTTGGTGTAGGGAATGAGGGACCTAAGGCTTTCTGAGACAGAGTAGTTCTACTATGTGCCTCAGACTGGCCTTGAACTCACATGCTTCCTCGTAAGTGCTGGGACATAGATACATAACACCATGCCCAAGTCAAAAAAGTAGTTAAGATTTTTAAGAAGCCTTTACACATTTAGAACGAATCCTAAAATCAACACCAGATGTGGTGGCTTGTGCCTAAAAGCTAAAGCAGGAGGCAGGAGGATTGTTAAGAGTTCTAGGCCAACTTGAGCTATATAAAGGAAAAAATACTAAAATTCAAAGGAAATTGATTAAGCTTTCAAATTAGAAAATCCTCTTCAAATTTCTAGGTAAAAAAATTTGTATATCATGTCAGCATCTCAAAAAGATCTTTTTCCCCAAGAGATCTTTTTAAAGTAAACCAAAAAGAATCACTTGGCTCATAGCCCTAGCTAAGATGAAGCTTAACATATGGCTGAACTACATAGTTTGGGTCAGGAAGAAACAAGACAGAAGTACAATTTGTGCTCTAAAGCTGAGCACACATATGAAATGCTGTGTGGGGGTGTGATGTATTACTCCACTCCACCACCAGATCTTCTTGGCAACGAGTGGTATAATTCTGAACAATCTTGGCCTCATATTATCATGAATATGCAAACTGGGGAACCCACATAATATAAGGACACAGACACAGTCATGTCAGAATTGTTAAAATGTCCTTCTCTCACTTGTCAAAGGTTAAAAACCAGATGTCACTGGGCAGGTGTGGTGGTGCACAACTTCAATCCTAGTACTGGGTAAGCAGAGGCAGTTTGACATAGCAAGTTCTAGACCAGTCAGAACTAAAGATCCTGTCTTAAAGAAAAAACCAAAAACAAAACAAAACAAAAAGCTGCTGGGCAGTGGTAGTGCACGCCTTTGATCCCAGTACTCAGGAGGCAGAGGCAGGCAGACCTCTGTGAGTTCATAGCCAGCCTGGTCTACAGAATGAGTTCCAGGACAGCCCCAAAGCTACACAGGGAAAAAAACAAAACAAAACAAAAAAGCAAAATGTAAAATCAGATGTTAAGTAGTGAAGGATGGAGACTAGGCCATGTCTAAGTTCAATTCACATTATAAATTTGTTATTCAAGATTTTCAGTTTTCCTGTTCAAAATTAAACTATTCATTTTATAATTATAAATTCATAATTTTTTTCATATTTTCAAAATAAAATTCTAAATAGCATGTAGAAGTATACAGGTTAGTGGCAGAGTGCTTGGCTAGCATTTCCCAGGTCCCAATTCTCCAATATCAGGGAATAAAGTGGGGTGTGGTAGTACTTTTCTATAATCCCACTAGTTACAAGAGACAAAAGTTTCAAGAATTAAGGCCATCCTAGGGGGCTGGAGAGATGGCTCAGCAGTTAAGAGCACTGACTGTTCTTCCAGAGATCCTGAGTTCAATTCCCAGCAACCACATGGTGGCTCTCACCTTGAATGAGATCTGGTGCCCTCTGCTGGCATGCAGGCAGAAGACTGTATTGTATACATAATAAATAAATAAATAAAATATTAAAAAAATAAAAAAAGAATTAAGGCCATACTATGGCATCTAGTAAATTCCAGGCCATTCTGAGATACTTAACAGCCTATCTCAAAAACAAACAAAAAAAACCTGAAAAGCATTACAGCTGGGTGGTGATGGCATACGCCTTTAAATCCCAGCACTTGGACCCCAAACTGATAGCTTCCCAGCATAGAACTGTTTCAGACCCCATGAACGTGGGTATCAATTTGGAGGTCTGGTTAATCTATTGGGCCTCTAGTAGTGGATCAGTATTTATCCCTAGCACAGGAATGGTCTTTGTGAGCCCAGTCCATATAGAGAGATACTCTCTCAGCCTAGACACACGGGGAGGGTCTAGGCCCTGCTCCAAAAGATATGACAGAGTTTGAAAATTCCCCCTCGAAAGGTCTCACCCTCCCTGGGGATCAGAAAGGGGATGGGAGAGGGGTTGGTGGGGGACAGGGGAGGATGGGAGGGAGAGGGAACTGGGATTGACATGTAAAACAAGCTTGTTTCTAATTTAAATAAAAAAGAAAAGAAAAACAAATAAATCTATGTACTCACTCATATGTGGATTTTAGACATAAAGTAAAGGATTACCAGCCTACAATCCACACTGCCAGAGAAGCTAGGAGGACCCTAAGAGAGACATACATGGTTCCCTGGAGAAGAGAAAGAGTAAAGATCTCCTGAGCAAACCAAGAGGACCCTAAGTGAAACATACATTTTCCCCTGGAGAAGGGGAAAGGGTCAAGATCTCCTGAGCAAATTGGGAGCATGGGAAGAGGGGGGAGGGAGCTAGGAGAATGAGAAGGAGAGAAGAGGAGGGGTGCGGAGGACATGAGGGAGAGGAAAGGTTGAGTCAGGGGAAGAATAGAAGATAACAAGAATGGAGATACCATAATAGAGGGAGACACGTTAGGTTTACAGAGAAATCAGGCACTAGGGAAATGTCTGGAGATCTACAAAGACGACACCTGCTAACAATCTAAGCAACAGAGGAGAGGCTACCTTAAATGCCCTCCCCTGATGAGATTGATGACTGACTTATATGCCACCTGATAGCCCTCATCCAGCAGCTGGTGGAAGTAGACGAAGACACCCACAACTAATCACTGAACTGAACTGGAACCCAGTTGCAGAGAAGGACAAGTGAAGAGCAGAGGGGTCCAGACCAGGCTAGTGAAACCCACAGAAACAACTGACCTGAACATCGGGGAACTCTTGCTCCCCAGACTGATAGCTGGGATACCAGCATGGGACTGATCCAGACCCCAAGAACATGGGTTTCAGTGAGGAAACCTCGGAAATCTACGGGACCTCCTGTAGTAGTTCAGTACTTATCCCTAGCATAGGTGTGGACTTTGGGAGCCCATTTCATATAGAGGGATACTCCCTGAGACACACAGGGAAGGGACTAGGCCCTATCCCAAAGGATACGATAGACTCTGATGACACCCTATGGAAAGCCTCACCATCCAGGGGGAGCAGAAAGGATATATGATAGGTAGAGTTTGGGGGGGAGGGGGGGAGGGGAGGAAGAGGGAACTGGGATTGTCTTGTAAAATAATCTTGTTTCTAATTCAAATAAAAAAATCTGCAGAAAAAAAACAAACAAAACAACAACAACAAAAAACAATTCCCAGCACTGAGGAGGCAGAGGTAGGTGGATCTCTGTGAGTTTGAGACCAGCCTAGTCTACAAGAGCTAGTTCCAGGACAGCCTCCAAAGCCACAGAGAAACCCTGTCTCGAAAAACCAAAAAGGAAAGCATTAAGACTTTATGCAGTCTTATGCATGGGCCTATAGCTCAGTGGGAGAGCTTGTTATTTAGAATGCACAGAAATCCTCTATACCCAAAACTAAAACCAAACAAAACCACCATAGTGCCTACATGCAAAGATGTCACAAAACTTTAAAGACAAAAGTATTTGGTTAAAAAAATTCTGTTTATTATAAAGTATGCATATTACTGTCATATATCCACGGACATAAAAGAAACAATTTGGAAAAAAAGTACTTTAGAAGGAAAGAATAAAAGCTATACATTCAGGTTTGTATAGAATATTATAATTATCTTCTAGAAAACAGTTATTACAGGAGAAAGAGAAAAATACATGCCTGACCAAGTTAGGTTTTAGTAACTACACTTCTGCATAATCTTTTAGAACTGACTCATGCAGTCTGCCTCTCCTTTACAGAGGCAATTTCCCAAGAAGCAGAGACTATAAGGACTGAGTAGTCAAAAGCATTCATTGCTCTTGCAGGACTCTGGTTCAGTTCCCAGCACCCACACAGTGGCTTACAAAGATCTGTAATTCCAGTTCCAAGGGATCTAATACCTTCTTCTGACCTCGGTGGGCACCAGACATGTACATGTTACCCATACATACATGCAAAAACAGGCAGGAAGACTACTCACATAAAATAAATAAATGCATTTTTACAAGTTAAATAAAGCTGGAAGTGGTGGCACACTCCTTTAATCTCAGCACTGAGAAGGCAGGGGCAGGCAGATCTGAGTTAAAGGACAGCCGGGCCAACATACCAAACTCCAGGACCGCCAAGACTACTAGAAAGACCCTGTACCAAAACCCTCTTACCACCCCCCCCAAAAAGTTTTGTACATCAAACAGTTTCATGATATGGCTTTCTTTTCTTTTTTATTCAGTCTCGTGTCCTAGGCTGACCTGGAACTATACAGACAGGTTAGCCTCAAACTCAGGCTATTCTGCCTCCGTCTCCTGAAAGCTGGAATAATAGATGTATGCCAACATACCTAGCAATAATATGGATTTGAAAGAGCATTAGAAGGTGGCATGTAATGCAGCTTTCTAAAAAATAATACAGTATCACCAACTAACTCAATATTGCCCTACATACTGCCTCAGTTTCCTCCTTATCAGAGAACTTCCATAAGAAGTTCTCTAGGTTGTGCCAATTAATCTGCTTTGTGCCAACAAAGCAGAAAGGCTGGCATAAATCTGACATTTTTTGAAGTTCAGAATAAAAGACTTCATAGCTTTCAGTGGCCTATTTTAAAGAAAAGGAAAGCTGGTTCATTCACTTGCTCAGCAGCTTTAGAAACAAACACAAAGGCTTCATGCTGCCATGATTTTATTTTAAAGAACAATACGTGTGAAAAGCAGGTAAATACATGGGTAATAAAAGAAAAAAATGACAGACACAATTTCATGCAAGAACTATATTAAGCAACTAAGGAAAACTATCCTATTTTCCACATATATTAGTCCTAACACTAACCTCAAAAGTTTTCCCTTTGTCCTGATTTTATTCTTTCAATCCCTTCTGGGAACACAGAGTACCACCTCCTTCTTCATAGCTAATAAGTGATTTCAAAGAGTATCAGAAGGCAGCAATTCCTTAGCCACCTACATGTTCCAGGTGCATTCACCCCATCATTTGAATATACAAAGAATTCCCTATGTAGCTGAATGTGCAATATTAACAACGTGTTTCTATGTTTGCTCTAACTGATGTCAAATAAGGCAACAAAAGCAGTGGTTTATGGGTCACTGCCAATCTCAAGCTGAGGACTAATGCTAGAAACCATTAAGTGCTCAGTGTAATTAGACTGATATTCTGAATTATGAACTTATTTCTATACTGACCTTTGCTTTTGCTCCCAGTGAAAAATAAGTCTTATTGTAGCAGCATGTCCCCAGCTTTCCCCTAAAAAAAAAAAAAAAAGAAAAAAAAATTAACTATACAGTACCTTTAGAAATTTATAGGTTGCTTAGAAATCTTTCTAAATACTCTTATGTTACTAAATTTAGAATAAGACTATTCTTGGGCCAGGTGGTGGTGGTGCACACCTTTAATCCCAGCACTTGGGAAACAGAGGCAGGTGGTTCTCTGTGAGTTTGATGCCAGCCTGGTCTACAGAACAAGTTCCAGGACAGCAAGAGCAATTAGTTATACACAGAAACCTTGCCAAGAACCAGAAAGAAAAAAATACATAATAATAATAATAATAATAATAATAATAATAAAGTATTTACTTAAAAAAGAATATTCTTGGTATTGGCCAGGCAGTGGTGGTGCACACCTTTGATCCTAGCACTCAGGAGGTAAAGCAGGAGGAACTATGAGTTTGAGGCTATCCTGGTCTACAGAGTGTGTTCCAGAACAGCCAGGGTTATACAAACAAAATACAAACAAATAAACCAAAGAATGTTCTTGGTTTCAAAACCTGTAGGCTATGAGTAAGATCCTAATAGTGACAGAGTTTTACTTATCTAGAAAACCAATGCAAATCATTATCCTCTATTTGTTTCATGAAAAGGTTACAGTTTCAGTGGATTATCAACCTTCCATTCCATAAGGTCTACGATGTATTTTTAACACTCACAAACAGGGTCTCACTTGGTCCTGAATGGCCTGGAACTCAGTATGTAGGCCAGGCTGGCTTTGAATTATGCCTGTCTCTGCCTCTGAAGTGCTAGGATTAAAGATGTATCACCACAGAGGCTTCATTATGCAGTCTAGGCTTGCCTAGGACTTCTGGGCTAAAGTGACCCTCCTACTTCAGCCTCGTGAGGAGCAGGAGCTGCACTTCTGTATCACCATGTTTGGCAGACAGAGTATTACTGGATTTCAGGAGAGAGAGACGTGTGTTCAAATAAAATCTCAACGTTAGGATTAAATAGACTCATTCTCCTTCCTGCCTAAAACTGAGGAGTTTTTTTGTTTGGTTGGTTTTAGAGACAGGGTTTCTTTGTTTAGTCCTGGCTATCCTGGAACTCTCTCTGTAGATCAGGCTAGCCTTGAACTCAAGAGATCCACCTGCTTCTGCCTCCTGAGTGCTAGGATTAAAGGTGTGAGCTGCCACCATCTAGCAAGACTGGGGTTTTAATGTCTAGAATCCTACTTTAAATACTTATTTCTAGGGTTTCTGACATAGTTGCTAGATAGTATCTACTCAATAAATATTTGTTAAATTATGAAAGTATTAGTATCTCAGGACACTGCTTAGTGATCAGTGAACAAGGCAGTCTCAAGCTTTCAAAACCTTATAGTATTCAAACAAATGAAAAGGTAGGAAAAAGCTACACAGAGAAATCCTTTCTCGAAAAACCAAAAAGAAAAAGAATAGAAAAAAAAGGTAGGAAAATATTAAAAAGTAATGATTTTTTTATCTAATTCATTTACCAACCTAATGCAGGAACAAGCAATGCTTGATTTTTATCAATCTTTGTTGTCATCTGATTAGTTAAAATAACCTATAAAAGCAAAACATAAGAAAGTTAGGATATGCCAGGCAGTGGTGGCACATGCCTTTAATCCCAGCACTTGGGAGGCAGAGGCAGGTGGATCTCTCTGTGAGTTTGGGGCCAGCCTGGCATACAAAGTGGGATCCAGGACAGCCAGGACTGTATAAAGAAACCCTATCTCAAAAATAAATAAATAAATCTCAAAAAAAAAATAAAAAATAAAAAATAAAAAAAGTTGTATGTTAAAACAGTCCTGAGCTTAATATTCTGAATATGGAAAGTTAAATACATTAGATGCTAGAGACGGCTCAAATTTAGGATCCAGATTCAGTTTCCAGAACTCACATGGTGGCTCACAACAATCTATAACAGTGGTTCTCAACATTCCTAATGCTGTGACCCTTTAATACCGTTTCTCATGCTGTGGTGAACTCCAACCATCAAATTACTTTCATTGCTACTTCAGATCTGTAATTTTGCTACTGTTATGAACATAATGTAAATATCTGTGTTTTTAGATGGTCTTTTGGGGGTTATGATGAAAAGTTAAGGAACTGATTTATAACTTCAGTTCCAGAAAACCTGACAACCTCTTCCTCTGGCACCAGCCACACATATAGTACACAGACATACATGCAGGCAAAACACTTACGCACACAAAATAAGTAACTCTTAAAAATACAAATTTTTTCTGAAAAAAGGGGAAGAGATGAGCCAATTGTGCTCACTTGTCTAATTTTTTTTTTTCTGAGAAAGGTTTTCTCTGTGTAACAGACCTAGCTGTCCTGGCACTCACTCTGGAGACCAGGTTGGCCTGGAACTCACAGAGATCCACCTGCCTTTGCCTCCCAAGTGCTGGGGTTAAAGGTATGCACGCCCCCCCCCTCTAGGCATCTACTTTACTTTTTGAGACAGGGTCTCTCATAGAATCTAGAATTCCTCTTTGAGTTACACTGCCTGGCTGGTAATACCCAAAGATGCCCTGTCAAAGTCATTTCTTCACCCTCACCTTCACAGTGCTGGGATTACAGGAGTGCATTGCCATGTTCAGCTTTTTTTTTCTTTTTATTAAATTTTTCCATTTACTTTACATAGCAACCATAGTTTTCCCTCCCTTCTCTCTCCCTGTTCCCTCCCTCCAAAGATTTATTTATTATCTATACAATGGTCTGTATGCATGTATTCCTGCACACCAGAAGAGGGCACCAGATCTCTTTAAGGATGGCTGTGAGCCACCATGTGGTTGCCAGGAACTGAACTCAGGACCTCTTGAAGAGCAGCCAGTGCTCTTAACCTCTGAGCCACCTCCCCAGTCCATGTTCAGCTTTTGTGTGGGTGCTGGGGTTCTGATCTCAGGCCTTTATGCTGCCAAAGAAAACACTTTACTTACTGAACTATCTCTTCAGTACCCTTCCTTTGAAACTTTTTAAAATTCAAATTTTGAGGCCTAGTGGCATATGCCTTTAATCCCAGCACTTGGGGAAAGAGGCAGCTCTCAGTTCAAGGCCAGCCAGAATACATAGAAAAGTTCCAGGACAGCCAGGGCTACATAGACCTGTCCCAAAAAATAAATAAAAATTTTGGCCAAATATGGTATTATTACATTGCTTTGATCCTAGAACTTAAGAAGTAGAAACAAGCTGTATTGCCATATACCTTTAAATGCTTTTTTCTTTTTTCTTCTTTTGGTTTTTCAAGATAGGGTTTCTGTATGTAGTCCTAGCTGTCCTAGTCCGACTAGCTCTGTAGACCAGGCTGGCCTTGAACTCATAGAGATCTGCCTGCCTCTGCCTCCCAAGTGCTGAGATTCAAGTTGTAAGCAATCAACACCTGACATATATGCTTGCTTTTATAAATTGCCATGGTCAGGGAGGGACTGGGAGGAGAGAAGGGAAGGGAAACTTTGGTAGGGGAGTAAAAACAAAAATAAAGTATTCCATTAAATAAAATTTAAGAATATTTTAAAAATAAATAACTTGCCTTGGTCATGGTGTTTTGTCATAGCAATATAAAAGCAAAACAGCTAGGCATAGTGGTCCATGCCTTTAACCCCGACACTTGGGATGCAGGCAGATCTGTGTTTGATACTAGCCTAGTAACACAATGAGTTCCACGACAGACAGACATCTACACAATGAGACCTTTGTCTCAAAAAAAAAAAAAAACAGAAAACAAAATAAAAAGAAAACACTGCCCTGAAAAAACAAAACAAATAAAACCCAAGTCGGTAACATCATCTTTAATTCCAGTCTTAGTAGATCCAATGCCCTCTTCCGGCCTTCTTAGACACAGCGTGGACATGGTGCACAGATATACACACAGGTATGACACCCATGTACACATAAAAGTTTAAAAAAAAAAAAAGATAAGAAAAAAAAAAGCCTGGCAGTGGTGGGGCACAACTTTAATCCCAGTACTCTGGAGATAGAGGCAGGTGGATTTTTGAGTTGAAGGTCAGTCTGTTCTACAGAGTGAGTTCCAGGACAGCCAAGGCTACACAGAGAAACAGTGTCTCAAAACAAAAAAATTAAAACTAAGGTGGAGAGCAGCTGAGAAAGATACCCAGTGTTGACCTCTAGCCTCCACAGGCACATGTACACTTGCACAAGGGCCTATATTCACACATGTACACACACACAAACCAAAACTTATATACATATAAATGGAGAGAGAAAAAGCAAGCAAGTTAGCTATATTAAAACAGGGCAGGCAATGTAGTTCAGTGGCAGAATGTTTGCTTAGTATGTCTGGTCTTGAATTGGAACACCAGCAGCAAAACAACAAAACGAGAAAAAAAACATCAAAACCTAGGAAACCATGACACTATGCAGTCTATTTGTCTTGAGCGCCCTCTTCTGGGGGATCTTCAAGATACCATCATTAACAATTCTAAATTCCAACTAACAGTGAGAAATAATTCAAAGAGCACTATGCTTTGGCAAAAAGAATATGGCAAGAGGGCTAGTAAGATGACTCTGTGGGTAGAGGCACTTTCCAAGGAGTCTGACAATTTAACTTTGATTTCTGGGACCCCACAGAGGAGAGAAATGACTTCTGTAAATTGTCCTCTGACCATGTAAGTGCCGAGGCATTCAAAATAAAATGTAACTTAAGGGTAAGATTTGGAAAGGCAAAGAAAATGTGTGTTTCAAATTTTATAGAGGAAGTTCTTTATTTACATTTGGTATCTCACAGGCATGTGCTAACAACTTCCCTGAAAAGGGAAAAGTGGAGTACCTCAAAGCATTTTCGTTTCCACCTCCCTTCCGACAAGTGCATTTGCCAATGGGAAGATGCGGTTGCAAGGTGGAAATTAATGGCAAACAGGTAACCTGCACTCCTTGGCTCATATGTACTTTTCCCTTCACGCTTCAAATCTACAATGGCTCCAGGGCCTAGACATGCATGAGTCTCTGGGTCTAATCACTATTGTAACACAAACAAAAACCTGGCTTTTCCATAAAATTCCTAGATTAAAAGCCATGTATGACAACGAAAGTCTATAATCTCAGTACTCAGGATGCTGGGGGAGGAGGATAAAGAGTTCAAGGAGGGACAGACTACATACCAAGTTTCAGGCTATATCAAGGCTTTGTTTCCAACAAGCAACAATAACAACCACAAACCCCCAAAATTATGTTCACGTTATTTATCTTTACTCAGACAAGATAGGTACAAATTTAGACATTAATTTGTTTTGTTTTTCAAGACAGGCTTTCTCTGTGTAACCCTGGCTGTATTGGAACTCACTCTGTAGACCAGACTAGCCTCAAACCCAGTCCTACAATTAAAGGTGTGCATAACCACCACCCAGCTAGACATTAATATTTCATACAGTCTTAACTATAAAATTCTTCTGATTAATAATACTTACAGCTAATCTGTGATTATTTGCCAGGCTGATCATTTGTTGGGCAAGGCCATTTAGTAATCGAGTACGAAGGGATAGATCATCAAGGTCATGTCGAAAAGGAAGAGCAATGCCATCTATTATCACTAACTGCACCTACAGGAGAATGAAATTAGATTTGGAGTTAAAACTACAATAATAAAAAGGGCATCTCAAAAGCATGTTCCATTGCAGAAATAAACCTTAAAATTGAGGGCTTAAAAAAGAAAGACATCACCGGGCGTTGGTGGCTCACGCCTTTAATCCCAGCACTTGGGAGGCAGAGGCAGGAAGATCTCTGTGAGTTCGAGACCAGCCTGGTCTCCAGAGCGAGTGCCAGGATAGGCTCCAAAGCTACACAGAGAAACCCTGTCTTTTGAAGAAAAAAAAAAAAGCCATCAATCTTGGTGTGGTGATAAATGCCTTTAATCCCAGCACTCTGGGAGGCAGAGGCAGGTGGATCTCTGTGAGTTTGAGGCCAGCCTGGTCTACAAAGCAAGTTCCAGGACAGCCAGGGCTGTTAAGACAGAAAAACTGTCTTAAAATAAAAAAGAAAGAAAGAAAAAGAGGGAGGGAAGGGGAAGGGGGATAGGCAGTGAGGGAAAAGAAAAAGATCTAGCTAGCTAGCTGTGCATTTATGATGAAAATGGAGAAATGGCTCAGCAATTGAGTATGTATTGCTCTTCAGTTCCTAGCACCCATGCCAAGTAGTTCATAACATCTTCTAACTCCAGGTCTCTGACGAGGGGATCCAATGCCCTCTTCTGGCCTCCAGTCACCTTATTAAAAATAAAATAAGGGCATGGTGGTATATATCTATAATCTCAACAAGCAGGAGTTAAACACAGGAGGATCGTGAGTTTTAGGCTAGGCGGGGCTATACAGTGAGACTATCTCAAATAAATAAAAATGAAAATTATAGTTTCTTTTTTATAACACTGGGAATTAGACCTATGGCACATATGTGGTAAACATGGTAAGCAATCTACTCTAACTCTTCAAAGGTTTTCTTTTAAAATTCACTTTATTAAATTATGTGTATTAGTGTTTTGCCCGCATGTATGTCTGTGTACCATGTTTGTGCCTGGTGCCTGTGAAGGCCAGAAGAGGGCAAGGGATCCCCAGAAACAAATTTTACAGATGGTTGTGAACCACTATGTGGGTACTGGAAATCCAACCCGGGTCTCTTAACCATTGAACCATACCTCCAGCCCTCAAAGGCTTTCTTTCTTTTGTAAAATATAGACCCAATTAATTTTACAGTAACCATCACCTGAATACTGGCATTTGATGCACATGCCACAATTCTAATTTAATTTTTGTTGCTGTGAGATGGCTTGGCAATTAACAGCCTTGGCTGCTTTTCCAGAGGACTCAGGTTCAATTCATACCACCCACAAGGCAGTTCACAACCTTTTGTAACTCCAGTTCCAGGAACTCAATGCCCTCTTTCAGGCCTCTGTGATCACTGCACACACATGGTGGACAGATATACATACAAGCAAAATGCCCATATACATAAATAAAAAATGAACAAAAAATTCATATGGTATGGTGGTTTGAATCAATGTCCCCCATAGAGTCTAGTATCTGAATACTTGGTTCCCAGATGGTGGTGCTGTTGGCAAGGCTTAGGAGGTGTAGCCTTGCAGAAAGAAGTACATCACTGGTGACAAGTTTTGAGGTTTCAAAGCCATGTGCCATCTCCAGTTCATTCCCTCTGCTTTCTGCTTGCGGTTCAATATGGGAGCCCTCAGCTGTTTCTGCTCCATCTCTCTGCTATGATGGACTGTTAGCACTCTGCAACCAAAAGCTTAGGTAAACACTTCCTTCTATAAGTTGCCTTGGTCACTGTTTTATCACAGCAACAGAAAACTAATTGCAACAGACCACAAACAGTCACAATAATCTTGAAAAAGAACAAAGTTAAAGGACTCATGTTTCCCAATTTCAGTATGTACAAAAAAGCTATAGTAACCAAGACAGTCTAACAGAAGTTGAGAATCTGTGGTAGAACACTTGCCTAGAATGGATTAGACTCTAACTTTGAGCCCCAGCAAAAAGTGAGACAGACAGATAAATAGGTAAGATAGACTGAGAAGGGAGAGGTAAACCAATTGAAATTTTTTTAAAAAATAAGTAAATACCAGAACAAATGCTAGGCATGGTGGTGAACATCTTTAACCCAGCACTCAGAAGGTAAGAAGCAGAAGGATCTCTGAGTTTGAGACCAGCCTGGTCTACAGTACAAGTTCCAGGACCACCAGGGCTGCACAAAGAAACCTTGGGGAGTGGGGAGGGTAAAAATAATACTGTAATTTAATAAAACAGGCTGAATATAGTAACAAAAGCCTGTACCCTAGCACTTGACTGAAGACAGAATGATTGAGAATTCAAGGTCAACAGGGGAGGGTGGCCCACACCTCTAATCTCAGCACTCTAGAGGCAGGTGGATCTCAAGGCCAGCCTGGTCTACAAAGTGAGTTCCAGGACAGCTAAGACTGTTACACAGAGAAAAAATGTCTCAAAAAACAAAACAAAGCAAATTATGTGTGTGTGTGTGTGTGTGTGTGTGTGTGTGTGTGTGTGTGTGTGTTTGTAAATATATAAAAATGTGCATATATGTGCAAAATAAGTAGAGTATAATAAATAAGTTGTAGGGCAAGGAAAGAAGAGACTTTTAAACTGGCATCAAATTTATACTACTCTTTATTTTTGCATTATCAACACTTTAAAATACATTATTTCAGTAGTATGATCCATACCTTTGAATGATTTGAAAGGAAATCTGGAAGGAGATAGACTTGTGCCAGCAACTCAGTATAATCATGACAACGGAAATAATAAATATGAGAAAGAATATTTTCAAGAGTAAAGCCCTCCAAGGCTTTCTGGTGTTCTGAAACAAACAACAAAACAATCTTAAAACAGTTTAATTTTTCTTTTTCTAATAGTCTGACAATCCTAGATCACTTATTTGTATCCTAGTAAAACAATTTCTAAAGGATAACAGAACTGCAAAATCACTGTAAACTGCGATTTGATAACTGTTTTGTTTTCCACTGTTTCATTAAGAGCTCTTGCTGCTCTTGCAGAAGACCTAGGTTTGGTTCCCAGCACCCACACAGCAGCTCACAACTGTCCATGGCTCCAGTTCCAGGGCATCTGACGCCCTCTCCTGGCCTCCATGTGCATCACACAGGTATGATGCACATACATAAAGGCAAAACACCCAACCACATTAAAATATTTTTTTAAAAAAACACATCTTAAGGCCGGGCAGTAGTGGCACACGCATTTAAATCCCAGTACTTGGGGAGGCAGAGGCAGGTGGATCTCAGTGAGTTTGAGACCAGCCTGGTCTACAAGAGCTAGTTCCAGGACAACCTCCAAAGCTACAGAGAAACCCTATATCAGAGCCCCCCTCAAAAAAAAAAAAAAAAAAAAAATTTAAAATGCAATAATTAAGCCAGGCAGTGGTGGCACATGCCTTTAATTCCAGCACTTGGGGGGCAGACACAGGTATTCTGTGAATTTGAGGCCAGCCTGGTCTACAGAGCTAGTTTCAGGACAGGCTCCATAGCTACAGAAAAACCCTGTCTCAAAAACAAAAAGGCATTAAATAGTTTCTCATTTCAAAACCAAACTCATTTTGTCTTTGATTTTATGTGTAACATATCAGGGGTTATTTACTCACAAATAAAACTAGATACTTACTGTTTATCTTTTGTATTTCCTATTATTGGTTTCCATTGAACAGAAGTATCATGATTCAAGTTTTTCTTGTTTTTGAAGAGTACAAATTAAGAATTGGAAGGAAAAGTCACGGGGAATGTGGCACACGTCTTTTAATCTTTAAGTAGTAACAACAATATGAAATTCTTTTAACACTGGATTTTAAAGTCAGTATGGTTCAGAGTTCAAGGCCACGTTGGTCTACATAGGAAGTTCTAGGACAGCTAGTTATATTGAGACCATGTCTCAAAAAATGAAAGGGGGAGGATGCTTAGAAAGATTGCTCAGTGGTTAAAAACCCACATAGTGGAAAGAGAAAACAATTCTCAAGTTTCTTCTGATCTCTACACATGTGCATATACACTAAGTAAAATGATTTAAAGAAATTTTGTGTGCATTGATGTTTTCTCATGCGTGTTTCTTATGGACAGCTATGAGCTGCCATGTAGGTGCTGGGAATTGAACCAGTGTCCTCTGGAAGAGCAGTCAGTGCTCTTAACCACTGAGCCATCTCTCCAACCTGATAAGTATGATTTTTTGAAGGATTTATTTATTTATGCATATGAACCTTTGTGTACTTGTATGTCTGCACACCAATAGAGGACATTCATCCCATTAAAGTTGGTTGTAAGCCACCATGTGGTTGCTGGGAATTGAACTCAGGACTTCTGGAAAATCAGGCAGTGCTTTTAACCACTGAGTCATCTCTACAGCTCAATAAATGTCAGAAACTTAGGAGTTTCAGACCAGCCGAAGCTACATAGTGAGTTCCAGGACAGTTTGGGATACAGAGTAAGATCCTGTCTCAAAAAGCAAAATAAAAAAGTGCTTATGCTTTAACATTATAAAACAAAACAACAGGGGGCCGAAGTTGGAGTTGCTTGTCTACTATGAACAAGACCCTGGGTTCAGTCCTAAGCAAACAAGTGCGTGCAGAGAGTCACACAGAGAACAGGGGCTGGAATGAAGCTCAGTGACAGCATGCTTCACAAGCATTTCCAAGGCTCTGGGTTTGATCCCCAACACTACAAAAACCAACTAAACAAAACAAAAACAGGACAAAGTAAAAAACGAAACAAAACAAAGCCAGGAAGAAATTAGCTGCACTGGGTGGCTCATACCCAAAATCCCAGCAGGGGGGCAAAGGAGGCAGAAGGCTCCAGCTCAAGGTCATCCTCAGGAAAATAGCAGTACAAGGATTTCCTGGGAACTAGATTTCAGGTTAGTAAAAGGCTTCTTCAAACATACAGTAAGTTAGTTTGAAAACAAAACAAAACAACAAAAAATTTAGCTTTAACCATGCACCAATCATTAAAACCTTCACATCCCAGTGCCTCTAAGTATCTACTGTAAGTACAGCTAGATTTTAAGGTATTTATTTAAGTATAGATTGTGATAGGGGTAAGACATTTTAGATAGAAGAATTACTTTGTCTTCTACCTTTCCAGGGTCTCTACTGAAAAGACATATACCAATAGAAAAATAGAATGTTTTTGTTTTTAATGAACTGTGTGTGTATGTACCCTTATGCAAATGTCACAGTGCATTTGTGGCTGTCGGAAGACAGTTTTCAGGAGCTCTCTCCTTCCACCCTATTGCTTCTAGGGATCAAATTCACATCAAGCTTGGTGGCAGGCACTTTTATTTGCTGAGCCATCATGCTGGCCAAAGTTCTTTACCTTTTCAATTACTTATAAAAGTAATAGCTCTTGTGCTGGACAAGTGGCTCAGTGGTTAAGAACAGGAACTGTGCTGGATGTGGTGGTGAACACCTTTAATCCCAGCACTCGGGAGGCTTGGCAGGTGAATCTCTGAGTTCAAGGCCAACCTGGCCTATAAATTGAGTTCCAGGATAGCCAGGACTGCTACACAGAGAAACCCTGTCTTGAAACACACACACACACACACACACACACAAAAAAGACTACTAAGTTGGGCAAGACACAGGTCTGTCATCCCAGCATTTTGGAGACTAAGGCAGAGGATCACAAATAGGTAGGTTACAGGGAGAGTAACAATATATATATATATATATATACATATATATATATATATATATATATAAAATTTTGCAACAAAAGTATTGGAGTTTAGTCATTAAGCTTCAAGTTTGGGGGGGCTAGAGAGATGGCTCAACAGTTGAGTACTGACTACTCTTACAGAGAACCTGGGTTCAATTCCCAGCACCCACAGGCAGTTCACAACTGTCTGTAACTCCAGGATCTGACATCCTCACACAGACATACATACAGACAAAACACCAATGCATATAAAAATTTTAAAAAAGCTTCACGTTTGGGACAGTCTCTTACTGAGGTCTGAGATGGGCACAAATACAAATCATCTTTCTTGTACAGAAGGAGCACCATGTGCTGACTCACCTTCATCCTTGTGTGTTCCTGCTATAAGGTGAAGGTGCTGAATGCAGGCATTTGCAAGGGTGACCACTCTATCAACCATAAAACTTCCCTCCGTATCAATAAACACTGCTTCACCTGCCACTCCTCCAAAACACTCTGGAATCTGCACATCCACTGCCAACTGCATACTGTCAAGAAATCAGCCAAATGACCAAATCGTTACCATAACCATCTAAATGTCTTTAGTAAACTACATATAATCATTAGCTAGACCATCAAAAGTCTTCTAATTACAAATATAGTTTCCCATGGCAACAAATACATATGAACCAATAGATACCCAGATTATAGTTAGGGTGTTGCACAAAATTATGATTAAGGAATTCTTAGTGGTTTTTAGGTTTCTGGGAATTGAATATATCTTCTCCTTTTTGAGTCAGGGTCAAGTAGCCCAGTATGAGCCTTCAACTCTCAATCCTTCTCAGTCTCCACCAGAAGCCGTGCAGCTGTTTGCAGGAGTATGCTACCACACCAATGTAGACATACTTTTTTTTTTTTTTTTTTGAGACAGGGTCACTATATATCCCTGGCTGGTCTAACAATTGTCATATAGCCCAGACTGCCCTCCAACTCACAGCAATCCTGCTTAAATATCCTGAGTAATGAGATTATAAGAGTATGTCACCAATCCTGGTTCAGAACTCTTGAGTATATATAAATCAACTTTTAAACATTTGACAAATATATCTCAGAAGCCAACTAATTAGGAAAGTATCTCTTTAGGGACCACATTACAAAAGAAACATTTTTGATATAAAAACCATTCTATCCATTTACCAAGACGGGGTACTGAGATACTATGATGGTAAGCTGATTGTTTGATGCATCAAGTAATAACATGCTTTTTGGTATTCTGACTACAAACTCACAGCAGAAAATTCCATTAGTTACATAAAATACTAAGTCCATCCTTAAGTAGGAAACATCCCATTTTACCATAACTGTGTTTTTCCAACACCTGGTACACCACAAACTTCCGTTGTTTTCATTAGGGGTATTCCACCCCCAAGAATGTTATCTAGCGCTGAGCAGAAGGTGATTATGAAGCCCTGGGTGTGCTCCTGCTCAAGAAGTTCCAGTGCGGTGTACTTCTTGCCTGCCACAGATGCACCAGCACATCTGGGTTTGTCTGTGAGACTCTCTCTTCTTACAATTTGTAGAGTTTCTAAAGCTTCCTCTTTAGATATCCCAACTTCTGAAAATAAAATCAGAAAACCTGACATTAGAAATGTAAAAGTCTAATTCAGAGCTGGACGTGGTTGGGAACAGCTTTAAATGCAGCACTGGGGGGAGAGGGGTGTCTTTGTGAGTTCTAGGCCAGCCTGGTCTCCTGAGAGAGTTCCAGGACTGGCTCCATAGCTACTGGGAAACCCCGTCTCGAAAAACAAAACACCAAAACCCTAACCAGATTCCATTCTGGTTAGGTTGGTTCCCTTTGGTTAACAGCAGCACAGTGGATGGCCACAGCTAGCTTTAGTTTTGTGTGAGGATTCGCGCTGGTTCACACTTACACATGTAATCAGAAGACCTCGAGAAGAATGTTTGGGATATCCCATGAATCATCTTTCCAGGGCTTTCTCCTGGTCTAAGGGAATGTTCTCTTCCTTTTCTCACTTCAGTGTCTCTAGTCCTACTCTAATCCTTTACTTCTCAATTTCAATTTTCAACCCCCTAGCATCTTGGAACAGCAAGAATTACATGGCTTGTCTGTTTTGCAATTCTAGAGCAACGACTACCCAACTTAGTTATCACGAAACCTTAAGATGAAAAATGGGTTCTTTCCACTCAGGGAGGCAGAGACAGGCAGATCTCTGTGAGTTCGAGGCCAGCCCTGGTCGTAGAGAGTGAGTTTCAGGACAGCCAGAACTACACAGAGAAAACCTGTTTCGAAAAGGCAAATAAATACGTGAGTATTGGTTCTTTCAACTATAGATTACACATCCTGGTCCAAGAGACTTGCAGTCCTCAAAGAACCCAGGAGGCGCGGGCACGGAGAAAGCAATCAGTACACGTCTTTCCACACAGTTCCAAACACAAGAAAACTTCAAAGAGGAGTGCAAGAGCAGCTTTACGTCGTAAACGCGGTGGCGGGAGGACGAAGGAGGCGGCGCCAAGCGGCCGCGATGCATCTCAGCTGGCCGCCGGGAGTCGTTACCTTTGCTGAGCTCAGAGGGCTTCACCCCCAGGACGTCCTCGGCCGTCTGGAAACCCGCAGCCACCAGCTTCACTCGCACCGTGGGAGACAGCGGGAAACTCACTAGCTCCCGCTGCATTTTCAAAGCTCGGCGCGTAAGCACACAGTGACGTAGAGCAAGAGGCGCGAAAGCAAACCCTGGAGGCGCAAACCCCGCCCGCCCCGAGCCATGCCGTGTGACGTCATGCGCACAGCGGAAGGGGCGGGCTCACGCGGTCTAGCCTCACCGGGTGACGCAGAGCGAGAGGCGCGAAAGCCTTAGCGGCCCAAACCCCGCCCGCCCGGAGCCATGCCGTGTGACGTCATGCGCGCAGAGGAAGGGGGTGGGGCTCGCGCGGCCTAGTCTCCTCACGAGGCCTTGCTGCTGAGGAAATCCCACAGGTGTTCACGTGTAGCGTTGTTTTCCAATGTGACTCACCCGAAGCACTTTTTGGGGGGAGGGGGAGAGGTTCCCTTACCAAGAGTTTTAGCTTGACAGTAAAAAAGCAGCGAGGAGGAGGCTGGAGCAGTGAGGACGGGGATGAGGCCCAGTAGGCCCTACGGGCCTCACTGCCTCCTTGCTCCGGCCTGTTCATGGGTTCCTCGAGTCTTTAATGGAAATCATCTCCCTAGGTGGGAGTAGCAGGGGCAGCAGCAGCAACTGAGTACCGCTCAGTGGCCAGTTCTCGCTGTGAAAGATTCAGGAAGCCGTTTTGGAAGGCTTTCTGTGTGTCCGGACCACAGGAATGGAGTCCGTGGGCTCTTCTTCCTAGCGGGGAGGCCTCCTCACTTGCCTCCCCGTCACTTCTCCCGCCCTCGCAAGGGATTGTGGGCCGGCCCCCCCATCTCGAGGGGGGAGCCGTTAGCGTGGAGCCGTTGGCGCTCAAGCGTGGCAGCGCCCACGCACCCACGCACGCACGCACGCCCGTCCACGCACACCTTCCGGTGCGTGGTGCCTGAGGAGCGGGGAGTTCGCTCGGGAGCGTGGCGGTTTCTGAGAGCGTTCATGTCCGCCGGCCTGCCTAGCGTATGAAATAGCTGGAAAAGTAAGAAATCATGTCCCTGTTGTCTCGTCGTCGTCGTCTAGCCTGGGCCTCTGGTGTCCTAAACGGGAGGGACTGGACTCCTTTAGTAGCAACGGAAGTAACCGCTTCCGAAACAACTTTTGTGGAGATTGGCAGTTTGGAGGTTTTCTGATTTTTGCCTAAAAAGTATGGAGGGCGATGTGATGAAGTGCCTCGTACCCCTATATGAAAATAAACCTCCTACGCAGGGCTGTGGTGGCGCACATCTTTAATCCCATCACTCGGAAGGCAGAGGCAGGTGGCTCTCTTGAGTTCCAGGCCAGCCTGGTCTACAGAGTTCCAGGACAGCCAGGGCTACACAGAGAAGTCCTGCCTCGAAATAATAAAATAAATAAAATTAGCCTGGCATTGGTGGTGCACGTCTTTAATCCCAGAACTCGGCAGGTGGATCTCTGTGAGTTTGAGACCAGCCTGGTCTACAGAGTGAGTGCCAGGACAGCCTTCAAAGCTACAGAGAAACCTTGTCTCGAAAAATAAAATAAAATAAAATAAACCTCCTAAATTGGGGGATACGGGTGTAATCAGCCCTCTCCGTTAGTACCCTATTGGCAGCAACTCTTTATTATTACATTTCTTTTGTGTGTATGTGTAGGCACATATGCCATGGTGCTAGTGTGAAGATCAGAGGAGTTGGTTCTTGGCTTCCAGCGTGTGCCAAGATGTGTTTCAGGTTGTCAGTCTTGGCAAAAAGGCCTTTTACCTGCTGTACTATCGCACCTCTCCCTTGGCAATGATTCTTAGCCTGGAGTAAGCTTTAATTCAGACCTTTAAGGGAGGAAGCAACATGTTGAGCAGTATAGTGAATCTCACACATTTTAAATATGCACAGACAGGGCTAGAGAGATGGCTCAGGGGTTAAGAGCACTGACTGTTCTTCCAGAGGTCCTGAGTTCAATTCCCAGCCATAGTGACTCACAGCCATCCATAAAGAGATCTGGTGCCCTCTTCTGGCCTGCAGGCATACATGCTGGCAGGACACTGTATACTTAATAAATTTAAAAAAAAAAAAAAAAAAAAAAAAAAAAAAAAAAAAAAACATAGGATGTTTAAAACTCAACATAGTTTTCTTGAAACTAAAATTTAAACCTAGAACCTACTTTATTATCCTGAGCAACTCCCAAATCTCCAAATAAATACAAATGTTTGTATTTCTCCTATTTGGTAAGACTGAACAAAATATGGTTTATGTAAGAATATTGCTTAACTTATATAGGATCTATATTTGAGCATTCAATAATTATTAGATGTTATCCCAGGGAGATTTCGTGTTTAGTGTTTATAAAGTAGTTGAGTTCTTGGGTTCTTGGGTTAAAAGATAATGAATTTAAAAGGACGGGAATGGACTTAAAAGTAGCAGTACTTCAGTTTGGTCAAATGCAGTGGATTTGCTTTTTAAATTTTTATTTCATCACCTTGGGGAGTTAAGAAACTACTTGTCTGTGTACTTGGACAATTATCGTGTGCTGTTACCATCTACCATCTAATTTTCCTTAGAGTGGCACAGACCTGTAGTCCCAGCTACTCAAGGGGTTGAGACAGGATAATAAAAGTTCAAGGCTCACGTTGGCATACAGAGTGAGCACAAGTCCAGTGTGGGCAGCTGAAACCTAATGAGAAAAAGAAAGAGCTGGCGATATGTCTCAGTACTGCCTGTAAGAATAAATCCAAACCCCAGTACTAAAAACCAAACACACACACATACCCAAAAAAACAAGCAAACAAAACAAAAACCACATGCTGAGCTGTGTGTGTGTGTGTGTGTGTGTGTGTGTGTGTGTGTGTGTGTGTGTTTCATCATTCTTTCCTGAAATTTTCAATCTAGCACCTCTCTGTTGCTGTCAATCACTTTCAGTTTTGAGTCTGTTTTGGGTTTTTTGTTTGTTTGTTTTTTGGTTTTTTCTGTTTTTTGTTTTTTGTTTTTTGTTTTTGTTTTTTGGTTTTTTTTTCCGAGACAGGGTTTCTCTGTGTAGCTTTGGAGCCTATCTTGGCACCTACTCTGGAGACCAGGCTGGCCTTGAACTCACAGAGATCCACCTGCGTCTGCCTCCTGAGTGCAGGGATTAAAGGCAAGCACCACCAACGCCCAGCTCAGAATTTCCTTTTTTTATTACACTTATTTGTGTGTATTTGCATGCACTCAGAGTGGGCAGGGCAAGTGATCATGTGTTCTGGAGAAACAATTTGCAGTAGTCTGTCTTTGCAATAGTCTGTCCTTCTACCATGTAGGTTGCAGAAACCCAACTCATGTCTTCAGGTTTTACTGCAAACACTTTTATCCGCTAAACCATCTCTGCAGCCATTTGTGTTTGTCTTTTTTTTTTTTTTTAAGAGCTTCGGGAATAGTTCAGTGGGTAAAGTGTGTGCCATGTAAGCATGAAGACTTAAGTTCAAATCTCCAGCATGCTTGTAAAGTTGAGCATAGTAGCACTGCTATAATCCTAGAGCTCTTACATCAAGATATGAGACAGAGATAGGAAACTCCTGGAAGTTTTTGGGCCAACTAGCCTAGCATATGCAGTGGTGTCTTAGTTAGGGTTACTATTGCTGTGATGAAACACCATTACCAAAAACAAGTTGAGCCAGGCAGTGGTGGTGCAAGCCTTTGATCCCAGCACTTGAGAGGCAGAGGCAAACCTACTCTACAGAGAGAGTGCCAGGATAGGCTCCAAAGCTATACAGAGAAACTCTGTCTCGAAAAAAACAAACAAAAAACCTAGTTGAGGAGGAAAGGGTTTATATGGCTTACACTTCTACTCACAGTTCATCATCAAAGGAAGTCAGGAATTCAAGCAGGGCAGGAGCCTAGAGGCAGGAACTGATACAGAAGCCATAGTGAAGTGCTGCTTGCTGGCTTACTCTTCATGAGTTGCTACTTTCTTATAGAACCCAGGACCACCAGCCCAAGGATAGCCCCACCCACAATGTGCTGGCCCCTCCCCCAACAATCACTAATTAAAATGCTCTACAGGCTTGCCTACAGCTCAGTCTTGTGGAGGCATTTTCTTTGTTGAGGTTTTCTTCTCTCAGATGACTGTAGCTTGTGTGTCAACTTGGCATAAAATTAGCCAGCACAATTGGCTAACAACAAAGAAACCCAATTTCAAGGTGGAACGTGAAGACCAATAAAGTTGTTCACTGGCCTCCACAAGCATTCCTTGGCACTAATGCACCCAAACTCCTTCACACAAATGCATGCCCACACACAAATTATTATAAGAAAAAAAATGTTATCAAAAGCGGGTATGGCTAGACAGTGGTGGCTCATGCCTTTAAATCCCAGCACTTGGGAGGCAGAGGCAGGGGGATCTCTGTGAGTTTGAGACCAGCCTGGTCTACAAGAGCTAGTTCCAGGACAGCCTCCAAAGCCACAAAGAAACCCTGTTTCAAAAACAAAAACAAAACAAAAAGGCGGGGTATGATGTTTCATATCTTTAATTCCAGCATTCAGAGGCTTAGGCAGGAAGACTGTCTCTAATGTAAGGACAGCCTGGTGTAGTGAGTAACAGGCTAGCCAAGGTTACAACTGGTATAAAAAAAAAAAAAAAAAAAAAAAAAAAAACTGAAAAGAGTCTGATATGGTGTTTTACACCTTTTTTTATTTGAGGTGGGGGGACTTCGAGACAGGGTTTCTCTGTGGCTTTGGAGGCTGTCCTGGAACTAGCTCTTGTAGACCAGGCTGGTCTGGAACTCACAGAGATCTGCCTGCCTCTGCCTCCCAAGTGCTGGTATTTAAAGGTGTGCACTGCTGCCATCGCCACCACCACCACTGGCCATGGTGTTTTACACCTTTAATCTAAGCACTAGGGAGGCGGCAATAGCCCTATGAGCTCAATATAGCAAGTTCCGGGGTAGCCAGGACTATGTAGTGAGGTCATGTCTCAAAAACTAAACAAAACTCCAGAAAAAAGGCTGAGAGATGCTCCACTGGGTAACAGTAACCTGTTTCCAAACCTGGTGACCCTTGATTGATCCCTCAGGCTCCCATGGTAAAAGGAGAGGAGTGACTCCTGAAAGTTGTCCCTCTGACTTCCATACATGCCTCCCTTTTCAGAAAATAATATATAAAATGTAATTGCAAAATAAATCTTTGTAGTGCTGGTATCCAGAGCCTCACAA